TGTAGTTTGCAAAAAATGCCTTCAATAATCACTTCAATTTTTTAGACAAGATTATTCAAGATGTTTTAGTTAATAAATGCCGCTAATTTTTATCTTGGGTGGCATTTATAAATACAAATGCCACTATTTGAATATTTAGTGGTGTTTTAATAAAAAATACCTTAAGTTTTATAAAAATACGGAAGCTAGCGACCTTTGTGAGTGAAACGATACTACAAAACTATCGGTAATCTTTCATTTTCTTGTAGTAAGGCTAAATTGATCTGAATGCCGATCATCCACTCAAGGAGTGACAAGTTAGCACAAAGGGGGTCCTTTAAGAAAGTTGATAAGGTGGCCAAGTTGACGTGGCACTGTATATATTAGGTTGAGTCATAAATACCCCTGACTATTTGGTGGCAGCCTCTGATGGAGAAAATTATGAAAATGACCATTTTCCCCTTTAGGCCTAAAAATGCCCCTAACATGTTATCACCTGCTGAGTAGTTTGAGTATTAGATTATTAAGTGTAGCCTTGGTCAATTTGGTTTGTGCTAATTTGATGCATACTCGATGGTGCCGAGCTTAATCTTGAGCGTGGGCTTTGAAATTTACACTTAATTAGTTCAACCTAAAATTATTAAGGTGAATGTGTAGGCAGTTCCCTTGAACACCATTGGCACATGTTGAGTTGTGCACCACACATAGGTATCCTGAGCTTGGGTTATGCACCATACGCACCACTATTGGGCAATAGGTGGGTTCAGGCATATCTTCATATTTTTGTCATGCCAATGCCATTTTTTTGACTTGTAAATTCATATAATGCTCACTAGCACTTGCAACTAGGCCTAGCCCAATTATGCCAAACCTAAACTACTTTTTGACTCTAAGAGAACTCCTGCGTCAGACCAACTTGTGGACCGTGATGCATGCATATGCTTGAACCCCATTAAGACATGTTGGCCCTTGGTTTTGACACATGCTTTGACCACCATCGGCACATGTTGGCCCTTTGTGTGGGCAATTCCCTTAAACACCATCAAAATATGCTAGGTCATACACCACATGTAGGTATCCTAGGCCTGGGTTGTGCACCATGTGCACCATAATCAGATAGTAGGTGTGTTTGGGTACATCTTTATATTTATGCCATACCAATGACATTTTTATGGCTTGTAAATTCATATAATGCCCACCAGTACCCAAACCTCGGCCTGGCTCAATTATACCAAATCTAAACACTATGCCTAAGCATATGAAGTCTTGATTACTATCCGTACCACTATTTTGGACTAATTTCCCATGACCTGGGCCTCTAATACACTCAAGGCCTAGTCCCCTTGGCTGTCAACCCTATCTCGCTAGAGTTGGAACTACTCTTCAACTTGGAAAGAACCCTTGAGCCTAGACCAATTTTGCAAACTATGAAACATGCACATGTCTCGACCGCCATCGGGAAATGTTGGCCCTTGGTTTCAGCACATGCTTTAACCATCATCGGCATATGCTAGCCTTTTGTGTGGGTAATTTCCTTGAACACCATTGGCACATGTTGGGTTGTACACCAAGTGCGAGTATCTTAAGCCTGAGCCATGCACCATATACACTACAATCAGGTGGTAGTGGGTTCAGGCACATCTTCATATTTCTACAATGCCAATGCCATTTTCGTTGCTTGTAAATTCATACAAGTACTCACAAGTGCCTACACCAAGGCCTGGCTCAATTCTACCGAACCTGAACATCATGCCTGGGCTTTTAGAGTCTTGATCATTACCTATTGTTTTGGTCTAGTTTCCCATAACCTGGGCCTCTAATATGCCTCAAGGCCTTGTTCTATTGTCTATCAGATCCTGTCTTGCTAGAGTTAAAACTACTCATCAACTTGGAGAAAACCCTTAGGCTTGGATTAGCTTGCAAACTATAACACATACACATATCTCGATCGCCATTGGGACATGTTGGCCTTTGGTTTTAATGCATGCTTTGACCACCATTGGTACATGTTAGCCCTTTGTGCGGGCAGTTCCTTCAAACATAATTGGCAAATGCTAGGTCACGCACCAAGCGTGGGTATCCTAGGCTTGGACTATGCACCATACATACCATGACTTGGCAGTAGATGGGGTCAGGCACATTTTCATATTTTTGCTGTGCTAATGCCATTTTTATGGCCTATAAATTCATATAATGCTCACCAATGCCCGCAACTGGGCCTAGCTCAATTTTACCAAACCTGAAAACTTTTTTAACTTGGAAAGAACCCTTGAGCCTAGACCAACTTACAGACTATGACACATGCACCAGCCTAAGGTTAGGTCATATTTGGAACTATGGTTGAGTCATTTGGTATATTTAAGTTGTTGCAGTTAAAAAGCTCGTAGTAAGAACTAGTGTTGGGTCATCTAGTCTATCTTACGGTGAGCACTAGCCTACTTGTCTGTATTATCGATTATGCGTCTTTGGTCTTAACTGGCCATGTCATTCCTCTAGCACCATTACTTTGAAAAAATTAAAGTGCTCAAAGTAGGCCTACACTTGTATACATTAGCATTGGATAATATCATAGGATTTTTGTCTATTATGTTTGCCTTTGTAATCGAAGTAATGATTAATAGAGATAGTTGTAGGCAGTTGTATTTTATAGTCAGAGGTGAAATTCTTGGATTTATGAAAGACAAACAACTACAAAAGCATTTGTCAAGGATGTAAGGGGCTCGAAGATGATCAAATACCATCCTAGTCTAAACCATAATTGATGTCGACTAGGGATTGGCGGATGTTACTTTTAAGATTTCGTTGACACCTTATGAGAAATCAAAGTCTTTGGGTTTTAGGGGGAGTATGATCGCAAGGCTAAAACTTCAAGGAATTGATAGAAAGGCACTAGTAGGGGTGGAGCCTGTGGCTTAATTTAACACAAGAAAACTTACTTGGTCTAGACATAGTAAGGATTGATAGACTGAGAGCATTTTCTTGATTTTATAGGTAGTGGAACATGGCTATTCTTAATTGGTGGAGTGATTTGTTTGGTTAATTCTATTAATGAATGAGACCTTAGCTTAGCTACATGAAGGTCTTCATGTGAACTTTCGTGGCAAGATGACTCGTTTTTTATTTTTCACAATTTAAAAAATTTTTCACTATTAAAGATTTTTTAAAATTTTTTTAAATGGAGTTTTGTCCCCAAATATGGTACACATGATCCTTGTATTTTTGTTGGCATCCACAAAAATATTTAGCTAAAAAATTAAAGTGTAGAAGATTTTGTGGCCATTTGAAAAAATCGTCCCCATTTTAGACACTTGAATAGCAACTGGTTGTAAACCTGTAAAAACTCTTATGCTCTTTAAGGGGATATGAGTTGTCAAGGTTTCTTAGAGATAGAGGGCCAATATAAGGGCCAAGGACTAGTACCCATTGTGCATCATGTGCGCACACTCCCCCTCTTCCTCTTTCAATCATTGAAACCCTCAATGCTGTTGGTTAGGTTTTTTGGTGATGCTCCGATGATGGTGCCCTCGACAAAAACATATGACACAAGCATATGCCTAAGCCTAGCATGTGCATCATGGCCTAGAATCAAACTTCAGCCAAGGCCTTAACCATCATCGACATATGTTGGAAAATGGTATGGGTACATGCCTCAACCATCATTGACACAAGTTGGCCTTTTGTATGGGCACTTACCTCGATCATCATCAGCATATGCTGGCCCTTGGTGTGGGCACATGTCTCGATCAGTATTGGTATAATATGGCCCTTGGTGTAGGCATTGCCTCAAACACCATCAACACATGATTACCCTTACTGGAGGTACTTGCCTCAAACACCATTGGAACATGCTGAGCCTTGGTAAGGGCACAGCCTCAACCACCATCAGTACCTATGTACCTTTGGTGCAAGATATGCCTATTTGAAAAAAGTGTCCTTATTTTATACACTTTAATGTCTACTTCTAGCATTTCTATAAAATCTCTTATACTCTTTAAATGGTGGTTGTCCAAACCCTCTTCTCGCTCTACGAGGGTGGTTGTCTACTATGGTGTTCATGATGGGCCTATCATTATGTACATCCACGATATGTCCTTAGAGTAAAATCTAGGCCATGCATGCCTTCTGGTCATGATATTTGATGATTGGTTGCTTTAGTAACCTGTAGGTAACCATGGCCTTGATTGGTTAATATACATGTAAAAAAAAGGCTTAGTTGTATTAAGCTCAAGCCCGTGTCGATGGTTAATATTGCCTCAGACCCCAGTCAAAGTTTTGAATTGGGCAATAACTGCTCAGGGAGGTGCAAGCCAAAGCTACAATTTTTGGGCTTGGTCTGACCAAGTTTCTTGAGAATTTGGTAGTCTCGTGGTCCCTTCTTATCGACCATAAAAATGCCTTAGTAGCCAAGCCTGTGCGTACAGCCAATGTTGCCCAAAGCCTAGCAACAAGTCTTTGAATCAAACAACATCTGCTTAGGGTGGTGATAGTAGAGTTTTGTATGTGTGGCCTCTATCAAACCAATCATTGGTGGTGTCATGTCATTGTTGCTTGTTGGATGGCAAAGGCAGTCTCGTGGCTTTTGCTTATGCTTTTCTCATGCCAAGCAGTTATGGCATGACCTTGTACATCATTTTCTCTGTTCGCATGTCAAGTAATCAATTGGGTGGATTGTGGATAGGTGTGCATGATTCTGCCACTTGTATGCAATAGACATATGAGTGGTGCTATGGTTATGTGTATTGGCAGGCTTTATGCTCGATGCATCGAATTGTCAACCTGTCATCCTTTTCAATCTCTCCTATTGGTCATCGTACCCTGAGGGCACAATCGAGATCCTATGTTGCATATGTAAATCGATGAAAATTGAATCTCTTGCCATCTCTCATCCGTCTTATATCCTTAGAGGCTACAAGTTAGACCTCAATCATGCCCTATGTCCTAAGTTTACCACCTAAATCTCTATGGTCACATTGGTGCACAAGAGTTCAATCATGCTCTTAGATGTAAAACATTTTATGGGTATGGGTTTTGGGCCCTTGTTCGTCCGATGGTATGCATTTAACGTGCTCAACATGCACGATCCTTGTGCTCTACATTGGCTCTTTCTGTTGCTCGATCAATGCGTTGAGGCCTATGCAGGCCAATGTCCTGAAGGAATTCTACCTAGTTGATCCTGCCAATAGTCATATGCTTGTCTAAAAGATTAAGCCATGTATGTGTAAGTTTGAACTAATTCGAATATGAAACTATGAATGGCTCATTAAATCAGTTATAGTTTTGTTTGATGATATCTACTATTTAAATAATCATAGTAATTCTAGAGCTAATATGTGCAACAAACCCCAACTTCTAAAAAAGATGCATTTATTAGATAAAGGGTCGACGTTGGCTTTGCTCGTTGCTCTGATGATTCATGATAACTTAATGAATCTCATGGCCTTTATGTCATTAATGCATCATTCAAATTTCTACCCTATCAACTTTTGATAATAAGATAGTGACCTACTATGATGGTGATAGGTGACGGAGAATTAGGGTTTGATTCTAGAGAAGGAGCCTATGAAATGGCTACCACATCTAAAAAAGGTAGCATGCATGTAAATTACCTAATCCTGACATAGGGAGGTAGTGACAATAAATAACAATATTGGCTCTATGAGTCTAGTAATTGGAATGAGTACAATCTAAATCTCTTACTAAGGATCCATTGTAGGGCAAGCCTGGTGCCAGTGGTCACAGTAATTTTAGCTCCAATAGTGTATATTTAAGTTATTACAGTTAAAAAGCTCATAGTTAGAACTATGGTTGGGTTATCTAATCCGCCTCACGATAAGCACCAGTCTACTTATCCTAACTATCAATGATGTTTTCTTGGCCTAAACTAGTCAAATCGTTCCCTTGACACTATATCTTTGAAGAACTTAGAGTGGTCAAAGTAGGCCTAGGCTTGTATACATTAGCTTGGGATAACATTATAGGGTTTTGGTTTTATTGTGTTGGCCTTCAGGATTAAAGTAATGATTAATAGGGATATCAAGGGGATTCGTATTTCATAGTTAGAGGTAAAATTCTTGGATTTATGAAAGATGAACAATTGCGAAAGCATTTGCCAAGATGTTTTCATTAATCAGGAATAAAAGTTTAGGGCTTAAAGATGATTAGATTTGTTCTAGTCTCGACCATAAATGATGCCAACCAAGGATCAATGGATGTTACTTTTAGGACTTTGCTAGCACTTTATGAGAAATCAAAGTCTTTGGGTTTCGAGGGGAGTATGGTTGCAATGCTGAAACTAAAAGAAATTAATAGAAGGGTACCACCAAGAGTGGAGCCTGCAGCTTAATTTGACCAATACGAGGAAACTTACTAGGTCTAGACATAGTAACGATTAATAGACTGAAAGCTCTTTCTTGATTCTTGGAGGTGCATGGCCATTCTTAGTTGGCGGAGCGATTTGTCTAGTTAATTCTATTAACGAATAAGACCTCAGCTTGCTAACTAGCTACGTAGAGGTGATCCTTTGTGGCTAGCTTCTTAAAGAGACTATGGCCACTTAGGCTAAAGAAGTTTGAGGTAATAAAGGGTCTGTGATGCTATTAGATGTTTTGGATCACACACACACTACACTGATGTATTCAATGAGTCTATAGCCTAGGTTGACAGGCCCGAGTAATCTTTGAAATTTCATTGTGATGGGGATAGATCATTGTAATTATTGGTCTTCAATGAGGAATTCTTAGTAAGTGCAAGTCATGAGCTCACATTGAGTATGTCCCAGCCCTTTGTACACATTGCTCACTATTCTTACTAATTGAATGGTCTAGTGAAGTGTTCGGATCATGGTGACAGGATGATTCACTGCTTGTGACATTGTGAGAAGTTCACTAAACCTTATCATTTAGAGGAAGGAGAAGTTGTAATAAGGTTTTTATAGGTGAACTTGTGGAAGGATCATTTTCGAAACCCGCTCAACGAATGACTTACAAATGCATTAACAGAATACCGAGGGGGTAAGGGTGCTTTTGTACCTCGAGCCCCTTCTACCACGGGCGTATGTGATAGTCATTTTATTCCATCTCTCAAGTAGGCAAAATGATCAGTATCATCAACCACAGTTGAATAACCCTTGGTGCGAATTATGCCAAGGAAATAGAATGAAAAAAAGCACATGTGCCATCCCTATCCCGTTCATAATTATGCACGAGCAACATGTGTGCAAGTCAACAAGCTAGAAAACCTATAAGGCACAAAAAAGTTGATTGGTAGGATCCCTCACTAGTGCACCACTGATTGACCTTGATTGTTTGAGAGTGGTTCTAGTGTGAGCACGCTTGTCAGGACTTGAAAAATGGTGAACTACACCTGAGTAGGGCGAAGCCAAAGGAAACTCTGATGGAGGCCCATAACAATACTGATGTGCAAATTATTTGTTTTACTTGGGTATAGGGGTGGGAGACTAATCAAAACATCTAGTAGCTAGTTCTTTTCGATGTTTCCCTTAGGATAGTTGGATCCCTTAGTGAGTTCTATCAGGTAAAGCCAATGATTAGAGGCATTAAGGGTGCAATGCCTTTGACCTATATTCAAACATTAAATAGGTAGGATGGTGCAGTTGCTTCGTTGAGCCACATCAGGGAATCTAAAGTTCTAGTGGGCCATTTTTGGTAAGCAAAACTAGCGATATGGGATGAATCAGAAGTCAGGTTACAGTGCCCAATTACACATTAACCTAGAACCCACAAAAGGTGTTGGTCGATTAAGATAGCAAGATGAAAGTCATGGAAGTCAAAATCCACTAAGGAGAGTGTAACAACTCACCTACCAATTCAACTAGCTCAAAAATGGATGGCACTTAAGTGCACAACCTATACTTGGCATCGGGGCAAGGACCAGGCCTTGATAAGTAAAAGAGCATGACAATCACTACAAAATGGGTGGAATGGCTATTAGTGTAGATCTTGGTGGTAGTAGTAAATATTCAAATAAGAACTTTGAAGGTCGAAAAGGGGAAAGGTTCCATGTGAATGGCACTTGCACATGGGTTAGTCGATCTTATGAGATGGGGAAAGCCCATTCGACAGTGAGTCCAGAGTGGGCTTAAAAAAAAAATTAGGTTAAAATTTTTAAATCGGGACACAATGGCTGATGGCAACTTAAAGAGTCTAGAGATGTTAATGGGGGTGTTAAGAAGAGATATAATTTCTGTTTAACAGCCTACCCATCCTGGCAATGGTTCAACCAGAGGTAAGGTCTAATGACTAAAAGAGCACTACACATTGCATGGTGTTCAGTGCACTATTGACAGCTTTTGAAAATCTTGGTTGTACTTATAGTCGCATTTGGTCTCCAAGGTGAACAACTTCTGGTCGATGGAACAATGTAGGCAAAGAAGGTCGATAAAATAGATCAGTAACCTCAAGAAAAAGATTGGCTCTGAGGGCTGGGCATCAGGGTCCTTGTCTCAAACCCATCGACTATTGGTGTATTGCTTGAGCTACTCCCATGATGAGAACAAGTCACCGCGTGTTGGTTAGGAGATGGACTGGGAATGGCTCTCTTAAGGGCCTTTTGTCGAATGATGAACAGTCGACTTAGAATTGATAAAGATAAGGGGAATCTGACTATTTAATTAAAACAAAGCATTGCGATGGTCCATGTGGATGCCCACGTAATGTGATTTCTGCCTAGTGCTCTTAATGTCAAAGTGAAGAAATTCAACGAAGTGTAAGTAAATGGCGAGAGTAACTATGACTCTTTTAAGGTAGCCAAATGCCTCGTCATCTAATTAATGACTCGCATGAATAGATTAATGAGATTTCCACTGTCCCTATCTACTATCCAGTGAAACCATAGCCAAAGGAAGAGGCTTGGTAGAATCAACAAGGAAAGAAGACCCTATTGAGCTTAACTATAAATGACTTGAGAGGTGTAAGATAAGTGGGACCTTCCACCGAAATTGAAATACCACTATATTTAATGTGATTTTACTTTTTTTATGAATTGGAGGTAGGGCACGGCCCCTTCTTTTGGACCTAAGGCTAGCCTCAGTTGGTTGATCTGAGCGAAAAAAATGTTAAGTGGGGAGTTTGGTTAGGGTGGCACATCTGTTAAAAGATAACATAAGTGTCCTAAGATGAGTTCAACGAGAATAAAATCTCATACGGAACAAAAGGGTAAAAGCATGTTTGGTTCTAATTGTCGATTCGAATATGAACCATGAAAGCATGGCCTATTGATCTTTTAGACCTATAGAATTTGAAGCTAGAGGTGTTAAAAAAGTTACCACGGGAATAACTAGCTAGTGGTAGCCAAGATTTCATAGCAACGTTGCTTTTTGATCCTTTAATGTTGGCTTTTCCTATAATTGTGAAACAGAATTCACTAAATGTTGGATTGTTCACCCATCAATAGGGAATGTGAGTTTGGTTTAGACCATTATGAGACAAGTTAGTTTTACTCCACTGATGGTAGCATCACAATAGTAATTTGATGTAGTGCAAGATGAACTACTGATTCACACAATTGGTCATTGCACTTAGTTGGAAAGCTAATGGTGGGAAGCTACCATGCGTTGGAATATGACTAAATGCCTCTAAGTCAGAATCTAGGCTAGAAACGATGCATGCAACCATTGCTTGATTGTCAACTTGTAATAGGGGCCTATAGCCCCCAAGGGCACATGTTGTAGGTGTAGCCCTTATAGTGGACAAGCTACACGAGCCTTCTTAGAGCTCAATTCCCATCGAATGGTGGGTAAAATCCTTTACTGATGGCTTAAATATGCAGCAGGGTATTAAAAGTGGTAGAGTGGCCTTGCTGCCATGATCTATTGAGATTTAACCCTTTGTTACTTCAATTCATCTCTTCCTCCCATACATCTATTGAAGTCTTCTCACTACATTCTTTACACCACACCCCTTTAGGTTTGGGGATAAATAGTGTTTTCTATTGCAATCGATTCAACTGAGAGATGACATCACTTCCTTGAGCTTCCAAGTAAATGACAACTACATGCTTTTTGTATTTGTTATAGAGATGGGCTCACACTTGGTGTGGGCATCTGCCTTAAACTCCATTCGCACATGTTGGCCCATGCTATGGGTTTTTACCTTAAATGCCATCAACGACATCTGGCCCTTGGTTGGTGTGAGCAATTGCATTGAACACCATCAGTAAATGCTAGCCCATTATTGTGGAATGTTGACTAGGACACTATTACTAGATGCTAGCCTTTGGTGTAGAGTGTTCCCTCAGACACTATTGCCAAATGCTTGCACTTAGTGTGAGCACTTGCCTCGACCATTGTCGGCATAAGTAGGCCCTTGCTGTGGGTTGTTGCCTTAGACACCTCTTTACCAATTGCTGGCACTTGGTGTGGCATGTGTACTATGACCTTCCCACCCATGCACTTGTTTACCCTTTAATCACCATCAATACCAAATCATGCTCAGTGCATGTGTCACAGGTTTTGATCTTAAGCCAAACTCCATGTGGCCTTAGGTAGGGAATTGACTCTATGTGCATTAGTCAACCTACAAAAATCAAGTGCCTAGCATAATTCCAACTTGCCAAAGATTGTGCTATAGTACTAGGCCTTATAAAAGCCCATAAATCTTATCCTTCTAGGACTATGTTCAGGTGTGCCCACACCTGGGTTTGACTATGTACCCTTGCATTGCTCACCAATACCTGCACCTAGGCCTTGCTTAATTTTTTTGAACCTGAACACTATGCATGAGCCTTTAGAGTCTTGATCATTACTTGTACCATTGTTCTGGGTTAGTTCCCATCAATTTGGGCCTCTAGTAAGCCTTAGGGCTTGGTTTTCTTGGCTGTTAAACCTTGTTCCGCTAGAGTATGCACTAAGCGCTAATAAACACCCACACTTGGGCCTGGCTCAATTCTACCAAACTTGAACACCATGCTTGAGCCTTTGGAGTTTTGATCACTACTTGCACCATTATCCTAGGCTAGTTCCTAGTGACTTGGGCCTCTAATATGCCTCAAGGCCTGGTACCCTTGGCTGTTAAACCTTGTCCTGCTAGAGCTAGAACTGCTCATCGACTCGAAGAGAACCCCTAGGCCTAGACCAGCATGTGGACCATGACACATGCACATGTGTTGACTGCCATTGGGACATATTGGCCCTTGGTCTTGACACATGCTTTGAACACCATTGGCACTTGCTGGCCCTTTTTGCAGGCAATTCCTTCGAACACCATCTACATATGCTAGGTTACACACCAAGCATAGGTATCCTAAGCCCCAGCCACACAACATGCACACCACGACTTGACAGTTGGTGAGTTTATGCACATCTTTATATTTCTACTGTGCCAATGC